GAGTTTGAAAACGAAACCCAAGATCAGGAAACACAAGGTCTGCAGGTAATATAGGAGACGAAGAATGGGTTCCTCCACCATGTGAGTGGAACCCAGGGGAGATCCTGGGGTGCAGTCTTCAAGGGAGGACCACCAAGTGCTGAGCCTTGGAGGTGCACTGATTTAGCATCTCCAGACCAAAAGGCATCCAGAGAAGAGCCTGAAGTCTACCTAAGAGTGAAGCCCCACTCCAGGAGTTCTGCCTACAGGATTTCCTCTCTCACTCCAGCAACCCCACCCTGAGGGTGGAGCAAGCATCACACTCTAGACCACCGCACCTAACGCTGCTGCGAAAGGAGGCTAGGAATCTTCTCAACTCCAATGGAAACAATTCTTTAACTTCTCACTGAGATCTTTTTTTCCCTCCTTTTTTCTTTTCTCTGCTTAATTGTGACCACAATGGTTCATGGACATTTATACATAATCATATTTGGTATTGTTTTTGTTTTCTCATTTCTTACATTTTTGAAAACCGTTATTCATGGAACACTTTTCTAAGGACTAGGAAAACTCGTTACTTTCCCTTGAATCTCTTTCTTTTTTTCTAACAGCCAATCTCTATTGTTCTTTCAGTCTTCCTTATTTTTTTCTTATATCTTCTCTCCTCTTCCCTCATAATCATCACATCCTACATCACTTCTGTTTTTTCCCTGTCCACCACTTGAAATGGTAAACCCTTTTGCAAACTTGCCATATAGGGAATAACCAATCACATCATTTCTGCTCATCGTGACAACACTGCAGACACCACAGCAGGAACTGTGTGGTTTAATGCTGTATATTGTTTCCACTGGTCATTGTTGTTATTTCTCTCCTCCTAAAGGGGAAGGTACTGAAAACCTTCCAGGACACTTCATTCCACAGTACAGAAACACTATTGCCTCACATCCATATTGTTAGATGGGCAGACACACAAAGAACACGAAAAAGCTGGGAACAAACTGCCTCAAACAAACCAAGATACTTCAGTAACAGACTTCACTGCCACTACAGTGGAAGAAATGTCAGAGAAAGACTTCAGAATGAACACAATTAAACTAATCTGCAAGGTAAAGGACAATGTTGTATTTGGGGTAAAAATGGGAGTTCATAACCCACTTGAATCAAATGTATGAAAGATGATATGTCATGAGTTATGTAATGTTTTGAACAACCAATTAAAAAAATTTTGCTGTAATTAAAGTTACTCAAAACCTATGAATTATTTATTTCTGCAATTTTCCATTAAATATCTTTGGACTGTAATTGAAAAAAAAAGGTAAAGGACAATGTAAGGAGTGAGAGCAGAGAAAAAACATACACAAACTGAAATATCACTTCAATAAAGAGAAAGAGATTCTGAAAAAAATCAAGCAGAAATTCTCAAAATGAAGTAATCAATAAACCAAATCAAAAATTCAATGGAAAGCATCACCAACAGATTAGACCACTTGTAGACAGTTTTAGACAATGAAGACAAAATATGTAATCCTTTTTTATTTTGGTACCAGGAATTGAACCCAGGGGCACTCAACCACTGAGCCATATCCCCAACCCTTTTTTGTATTTTACTTACAGACAAGGTCTTGCTGATTTGCTTATGGCCTCACTTAATTGCTGAGGCTGGCTTTGAAATCAAGTTATTAAAGAAAGGAAACCAGGTAAGTCAAACATACTGACTTAGAAAGCTAACTTACTAGTAAGTCTTATCGTTTACACAAAACTAAATTCTATGGGACCAATTCTAACTTACTGGTTTTACATCCAGCATGTAACTGCTAGCCCAGTATATAGGCAATCAACTAAATATTCATGAACGGACAAGTGAAGGAATAAGCAAATGAATATTCAGAATTACAATGAACATGTGCAACAAAAACGACTGCTGGAGCTAGAAATATAGCTCAGTTGGTAGAGTGCTGGCCTCGAATACACAAGACCCTGGGCTCAATCACCAGTGCCACAGGAAAAAAAGTCAAAATGTTAGTTATATCAAGTTGTACATTTAAAATAATTGCATGAAAATAAATGAGTAAATAAAATATTTTTATATACTCTTATTTTAAAAATGGGTCTTATAGTAGAACACATTGGCACCATGAAATAATCAAAAGAAATTTACAAGAGAGCATGTATTTAAAATTCAGTGAACTACAAGTAACAGCATCCTCTACCTTACCTTTTCAACAGGGAGCAGTGTTTGCAACAGGCGAACCGCAAACAGTGAGGTGCTCACAAAGGCCATCCTGTGGTGCACCAGCAGCATCTCTGTTTGCTCCAAATCAACGCTGCTCTTATGGTAGCACATGGTTTCTCCAAGGGACCCAAACACCAGGAGCAGTTTTTCTTTCTGAAAACATTTAAATAACAGAAAATTGAGGAAAATGACCAATTTTAGGAGTCCGTGTAAAAAC